GGCCTTACTAGGAACTGCTTCCCTCCTGCGACAATATCTGTAATACCATCAAACTTCCACATCTGCCTATCCCAGGTCCTGGGTAAGGACTCGATAGGTAGACAAAAATGCCAAATCCAGTCTGAACATCTGGCTAACTGCACGATGATCAATAATAATAATAATAATAATAATAACAACAACAACAACAATGAAGTTGGAAGGGACCTTGGAGGTCATCTAGTCCAACCCCCTGCTCAGGCAGGAAACCCTATACCATTTCAGACAAATGGCTGTCCAGTCTCTTCTTAAAAACTTTCAGTGTTGGAGCATTCCCCGCTTCTGGAGGCAGGTTGTTCCACTGGTTAATTGTTCTAACTGTCAGGAAATTTCTCCTTAGTTCTAGGTTGCTTCTCTCTTTTGTTAGTTTCCATCCGTTGCGTCTTGTCCTGCCTTCAGGGGCTTTGGAGAATAGCTTGACTCCCTGGGAAGTTGGCTGGGAAGGTTGCAGATGGAGATCATGTGACCCCACCAGGACGCGGTGCCCATCATAAAATTTTGAACACATGACCATGGGGGATGCTGCAACGGTCGAAAGTGTGAAAAACGGTCATAAGTCACTTTTTTTCAGTGCCGTTGTAACTTCAAATGGTCACTGAACAAATGATTGTAAGTTGAGGTCTGCTCTGTCCTCTGTGGTTTTTCTACATGTTTCAGGAAGGACCAGAATGTTTTAAGTGTTTTATTTTCTCAATCCTAGATATGCCGTGAACAGTTTGTAGCCCTACACAGCCAACCCATTTTGGAGGACCTTTCAAACTTCATGTTGCAGAAATACTGTTCCGATACCACGTAAGTTTGTCTGCACCTTTGGGGTATTTATTTTCTCTTTAGGTGCCATCAAAGGCATCTTTCCAGGTAGCCTCTGAAGCAAAATTAATCAGCGGAACAATTAACCAGTGGAACAACCTGCCTCCAGAAGCGGTGAATGCTCCAACACTGGAAGTTTTTAAGAAGAGACTGGACAGCCATTTGTCTGAAATGGTATAGCCCAGGGATAGGCAACCTTGGCTCTTTTATGACTCGTGGACTTCAACTCCCAGAATTTCTGAGCCAGCATGGCTCAGCTTGGAAACCTCTCCCTTTCCCCTCAGCATGGCTGGCTCAGGAATTCTGGGAGTTGAAGTCCACGAGTCCTAAAAGAGCCAAGGTTGCCTACCCCTTGTATAGTGTTTCTTGCCTTAGCTGGGGGTAGGACTAAATGACCTCCAAAGTCCTTTCCAACTTTACTACTATTACTACTACTACTACTACTACTACTACTACTACTATTATTATTATTATTATTATTATTATTATTATTATTATTATTATTATTATTATTATTATTATTATTAAAGATGGCCATGTGAAACGCTGCTGACTGGGATTCTGACTTTTCCCTGTTCAGAAACCACCTCAAAAAAAGGACTTTATGAGACAGTGGTGGCGCAGTGGTTAAAATCAGTACTGCAAGCTACTTTTGCTGACTGCCGGCTGCCAGCAGTTCGGCAGTTCTAGTCTCACCTCGGCAGTTCTAGTCTCTCTCTCTAGTCTCAAGGTTGACTCAGCCTTCTATCCTTCCAAGGTCGATAAAATGAGGACCCAGATTGTTGGGGGGGGGGGCAACATGCTTACTCTGTAAACCGCTTAGAGAGGGCTGTAAAGCACCGTGAAGCGGTATATAAGTCTAGGTGCTATTGCTGTTGCTATTTTTTCCTGTACTGATGTGAGGGAATGTAAGAGTCTAAATTCCCAGGAGGGATGGGTGGATTTCAGAAGAATTAAGAGGCAGCTCAGTCCAGCTACGTTGTGGGAGAGAAAGAGGGCGAAGACAGCCCCTCCCTAATAGTTCCCAGAATACGGGCAAGACGGCAATCGGGACCAGAATTTCCATTGCTAAGCAAGGCAGTGTCAAAGCTGTTAACATTGGATGTTCTTGCTCTGACAAAATATGCAGAGCTGTGTGGTATTTTTAGAGTTAATTAGATGAAGCTTGGAGAGGAGGAGAAAGAATGTATGTGGGTAATTATATTAGATAAAAATCCTGGCTCTTCAAAGGAAGACAACCTTTGGCCTTCAAATTGATAGGAGAATGTGATTTATGACAGCAAATTAAGGGAGGGAACATGCTGGCAAAATATGTGCTCAGGGGAGGAGAATTTAGATCTTGGCATCCCTCTTCATGCCCTGCCTACATTTTGTTACATGAATAAATGACTTTTTGGGAAAAACAATGCCTGGAAGTTCTTTGAAGTGTTTCATTAGTTGGAACCATGACAGGCAGTTAAGTGAATTATGTTAATTTTACCTTTTTCCCCCCCACTGTTGTTAAACGAATCACTTCAGTTGTTAAGCGAATCACGTGGCTGTTCAGTGACTCTGACTTCCCCCATTGACTTTGCTTGTCAGAGACCAGCTGGGAAGGTTTCAAGGTGCGATCATGTGACCTGGTATACTGTAAAGCAGGGGTCTTCAAACTTGGCCCTTTTATGACTTGTGGACTTCAACTCCCAGAATTCGGCTGAGGAATTCTGGGAGTTGAAGTCCACAAGTCATAAAAGGGCCAGGTTTGAAGACCCCTGCCTTACTGGATTTCAGAGGAGGAGTTAATGATCCCTTCTCCCTTCTGACACAGAGACATAATCCTAGAAGACCCTGAAAAAACAAAGCCACTCTAGGCACCCCTTCTCTCTTCCTGGCTGAGGAATTCTGGGAGTTGAAGTCCACAAGTCATAAAAGGGCCAAGTTTGAAGACCCCTGGCTTACTGGATTTGAGAGGAGGAGTTAATGATCCCTTTTCCCTTCTGACACAGAGACATAATCCTAGAAGACCTTGAAAAAACAAAGCCACTCTAGGCACCCCTTCTCTCTTCCTGGCTGAGGAATTCTGGGAATTGAAGTCCACCAGTCACAAAAGGGCCAAGTTTGAAGACCCCTGCTGTAAAGTCTTAAATATATGAGCAATTGCCAAAGCCGCAAAATTTGATCACTTGACCATAGGGATGCTGTGATAGTCTTAAGCGTGAGAACCAGTTTTAAGTCACTTTTTTCAGTGCCCTTATAACTTTTATGGTCACTAAATGAATTGAGCGCTTCAGTTTGGCTATTGATGTCGGGCCCAAAACCCAAGAAAGACACGTGGTGATTCTTCCAAGCAGAATTGTTTAGGTTCCCATAGCTATAGACAGAATTTTGCGACACTGAAAACTCTACTATATATATCAAGCATATCCAAGTAGTTCTTGACTTACAGCCCTTCATTAGTGACGATTCAAAGTTACAACAGCCCTGAAAAAAGTGATTTATGACCATTTTTCACACTTACGACCATCACAGCATCCCTAGGGTCACATCATAAAAATTCGGACGCTTGCCAACTGACTCATATTTGCGACGGTTGCAGTGTTCCGGGGTCATGCAATCCCTTTTTGCGACATTCTGACAAGCAAAGTCAGTGGAGAAGGCTTAATAACCGTGTTGCTAACTTAACCAGCTGCAGAGATTCATTGAAGAAGTGTGGCAAGAAAGGTTGTAAAAAGGGGCAAAACTCACTTATCTTGCTTAGCAAGGGAAATTCTGGTCCCAGTTGTGGTTGTAAGTCGAGAACTGCCTGTACTCTGAAAACTATTTTATCTATCTATACCATTTCGGACAAATGGCTGTCCAGTCTCTTCTTAAAAACTTCCAGTGTTGGAGCATTCACAGCTTCTGGAGGCAGGTTGTTCCACTGGTTAATTGTTCTCACTGTCAGGAAGTTTCTCCTTAGTTCCAGGTTGCTTCTCTCCTTGATTAGTTTCCATCCGTTGCTTCTTCTCCTGCCTTCAGGGGCTTTGGAGAATAGCTTGACTCCCTCTTCTTTGGGGCAGCCCCTGAGATACTGGAATGCTGCTATCATGTCTCCCCTCGTCCTTCTCTTCATTAAACTAGACATACCCAATTCCAGCAGGGTGTTACACTGTCCTGCGGTCAAACGGCCCCGTTTGGTGAAGTTTTGATGGCAACTGTTGGGCTAAAACTGCAGGCTTTCAAGTTTGATGAGAACTGGTTGCGTCCATGAGGTTGGGAGAAACTGGCATTGAGATCCTCTGTGGCTGACTTATTCTTTTTCTCTCCCAAAGAACATGTGAAAGCGATAAAAAGAAGAAGGGCCAGAAAGCTGTCCAGGCCAGGATCCAGGAGCTGAAAGCTTTACTGCCTAATATTCCCAAGAAAGGTAAGAACAAAAAGCCCCTTGATTGGCGAGACCGGGTATTTAGCGGATTCTGAAGGAAGGCTGTGCAAATCCTTGATGGATGTCCCTACTTAGTTGTTTTAAAGATGAAAACTTTACCAATCAAAGACAATTTTGTGGCTCAGGGTCAAAATGAGGGGTCTTTGGTGCTCTCTCAGCTTGGTTGTTTCCTTGCAGACCTTTCATTACCCAGCTAGGTAACTTCATCAGTGCTAAGAGTAATGATGTTACCAAGCTCAGAGGAAGGACCCCACAGTTCAACCTTGAAACTTTTATTCAGCAGGGGTCAACATTTTCATGGCAATTGGATCCAGGTAGCCCTCACCTTACGCTCACAATTCGGACCAGAATTTCCATTGCTAAGCGAGGCAGTTGTTAAGTGAAACACGTGGCTGTTAAGTGAATCTGACTTTCCCCCATTGACTTTGCTGTTGTTAAGCGAGTCGCGCTCCATTTTACAACCTTTTCTGCCACGGTAGTTAAATCAGGGCAGTGATCCACTTCTTCACTTTCTACACCACCCATCTGCCCTATAAGGCGATTCCGGGTGGCCTGCAGATTATAAAAAGACAAATAGGTAAACGAATTAAAGCACTAAAACCATGCAATTGAAAAGTTGTTAAATGAGTCCTGCAGTCGTTAAGTGGATCTGGCTTTTCCCATTGACTTTGATTGTTGGGAACTGGCTGGGAATGTCACAAGTAGTGATCACATGACCCTGGGACACTGCAAACCATCATAAATGCATGTTGGTTGCCAAGCACTCAAATTTTCAATTTCTTGACTGGGTCCCTTGGAGGAATTAAGCTACTGATCATGTGTAGCCACGCACCAAGGTTGGCAGCAATCCAAGGTCAGTTCCTGGGACAGCCACCACATTAATCCAGAGATGCTTTTCCTGGTATAACCAAATCAGAATCCACCTTGGAATCAAGTTTTAAACCGGTGGGTCCAAAATGCCTTCCTTCCACCCTGTAAGTACTGGTGTTTTAGGAGAAAAATCCTCCTGCGGGCTGGCAGGGGGCATCATCACTTTTTCTGACCATCTCCAGCACTTTTTAATCTTATCTGCTTTGCCCTTTCTACCACTGACACTCTGTGGTCCTGCTTTGTTGATTGGTAACAGGGACTCACGTCTGGCTGTGTGATTAGTGCGATCCCAGCAACACTCAATTATTTCATGTTGCCCCAGACTTCAGCTCAGCCGTCTAATCTCTGCTGCTCACCCCACTTCCCTGTTATGCCAAACCTTGCAACTAGATTTGTTATTTGTACTAGACTGGGGAGTGACCTTGTGTGGGTAGAGGGCACGGAGGCTGAGGGAACGTTCAGATAAGGGAGGGCACAGCCTGCAGCTGTATAATGGGCAGAGAAAGAGACTTAAGAAGGAATCTCCCCAACTTCTCAAGCTGTAAAAAAGGAGGGAGGTTTGTAATATCAGACTTAAAAGGTTCTGCTAATGTAGCTTTACCGTAAAGTACTAGTAGCTCATTTGGCTGCATTTCCTGTTTCCTAGGAAGGCTCACCATATTATATATCCAACACAGTGCTAGGCTGCATTAACAGAGGGATAGAATCAAGATCAGGTGAAGTGTTAATATCACTTCACAATGCCTTGGTAAGGCCACACTTGGAATACTGCATCCAGTTTTGGTCATCACGATGTAAAAAAGATGTTGAGACTCTAGAACAGTGATGGCGAACCTTTTAGAGACCAAGTGCCCAAACTGCAACCCAAAACCCACTTTTGCATAGTCGGGTGCCGGGTGGGTGTGGCCCATTGGGTGGGTGTGGCTCATTGGGTGGGCGTGACTTTGGTGGTAATGGCAGACTGGGTGGGACTAAAAAGTTCAATCAATCAATTCCAACTTTGCAAGATCTTTTTCCCGCGAGAAGTTGAAATTGACTGATTGATTGAATCTTTTTTTTTGCACACGGCGGCGGAGGCCTAAAGTGAAAAGGTTTTATAAAATCCAGCTAAAGGCCTAGGACTGGGGCGACGGCATGCGTGCCCACAGAGAGGGCTCTGAGTGCTACCTCTGGCACCCGTGCCATAGGTTCGCCACCACTGCTCTAGAAAGAGTGCAGAGAAGAGCAACAAAGATAATCAGGGGACTAGAGGCTAAAACATATAAAGAATGGTTGCTGGAATTGGGTATGTCTAGTTTAATGAAAAGAAAGACAAGGGGTGTTCCAGTATCTCAGGGGCTGCCCCAAAGAAGAGGGAGTCAAGCTGTTCTCCAAAGCACCTGAAGGCAGGACAAGAAGCAATGGATGGAAACTAACCAAAGAGAGAAGCAACTTAGAACTAAGGGGAAATTTTCTGACAGTGAGAACAATTACTCAGTGGAACAATTTGCCTCCAGAAGCTGTGAATGCTCCAACACTGGAAGTTTTTAAGAAGAGACTGGACAGCCATTTGTCTGAAATGGTATAGGGCAGGGGTAGGCAACCTTGGCCCTTTTATGACTTGTGGACTTCAACTCCCAGAATTCCTGAGCCAGCATGGCTCAACTTGGAAACCTCTCCCTGTCCCCTCAGCATGGCTGGCTCAGGAATTCTGGGAGCTGAAGTCCACGAGTCATAAAAGAGTCAAGGTTGCCTACCTGTGGTATAGGGTTTCCTGCCTGAGCAGGGGGTTGGACTAGATGACCTCCAAGGTCCTTTCCAACTTTATTATTGTTGTTGTTGTTGTTGTTATCTTTAGAATGGTAGTCAGGCTAACACTGTGGGGTCCATCGTACTCTCTGAGCTTGGTTGTTTTCTTGCAATGCGTCGCACTCCAACTTACCACCTCTTTTTTTTTTTTTTGCCATGGATGTGAAAGCGAATCACTGCGGTCATTAAGTGAATCACATGGCCGTTGAGCCAGTTCAACTTCCCCTATTGACTTTGCTCGTCTTAGAAGCCAGCTGGGTTGGTGGCAAAGGGCGGTCACCATTTTACGACCTTTTTTGCCAAGATGGCTCAGCAAATCAGCACAGTGGTGTTAAGCGAATCGTGTAATTGTTAAGCGCATCCATCTGGGAAGTTTGCAAGTGGCGATCACATGACCCAAGGCATTGCAACCAGCACAGATACATGCCGGTTGCCAAGTGCCCGAATTTTGATCACATGACCAAGAGGACACTGGTTACCTGAGGGACTTTCTGTCTGTCACAGTATCTGCCCAGCTAATTTGATCTGGCAAGTGCTCTCTGAGCTTGGTTGTCTTCTTGTGGATATTTCATTACCAAACCAGGTTACATCATCAGTGCTAGAAGGAAATGGGGTTTGCTCTCATTTTTATATAGTAACACTGCCTACCGCAGGGGGTGGGCAACCTTGGCTCTTTTATGACTCGTGGACTTCAACTCCCAGAATTCCTGAGCCAGCATGGCTCAGCTTGGAAACCTCTCCCTTTCCCCTCAGCATGGCTGGCTCAGGAATTCTGGGAGCTGAAGTCCACGAGTCATAAAAGAGCCGAAGGTTGCCTACCCCTGGCCTACCCCAATGAGTTTGCAATTTGAAGAGGACATCCCAGGGGTCTTATCCCCATTTGCTCTTTAGAACGAAATTACAGGAACTTAAGATAAAGTCAAGTTGCTAGTCCTCTTGGCAATAGCCAATCCAAAAATCAAGACTGCCCTTTTTACCCAACAACTATTATTGGCAAAGTGCCTGCAGTGGTACTGCAGATGGGTAGGATATCCTCAGTGACTGGTTTGACTAGGTGCCCTGGCAATTTTTCCCGGTTCTCTCCTTTCCTAGTCTCAAATGCCTCGAAACGATGGACTAGGCATGAAATGTACACAGCTGCAGCCTCTTCTTAGAGTCAAAGTCCCAGAGCAACATCTTCTGTACTCCACACTGCTGGGGGGGGGGTCTTGGGTAAATGTTTTAGGTATGGGTAGAGCTCGGGGGTCTTAAAAAATTAAATATAATTTTTGCAAAGAATAAGTTTTATAAAGGACACAGAACTAATAAAAAGAGAAAAGGAAAGGAAAGAAAGTAAATGGATGAAGAAGGGAAGGGAAGAAAAAAGGCAGGGAAAAGAGGGGAAAGGGAAAGAAATGGGAAGGGAAGGAGACTAGACTAGACTAGACTAGACTAGACTAGACTAGACTAGACTAGAATAGAATAGAATAGAATAGAATAAGGAACAGAACAGAATAGAATAAGGAATAGAATAGAATAGAATAGAATAGAATAGAATAGAATAAGGAACAGAACAGAATAGAATAAGGAATAGAATAGAATAGAATAGAATAGAGTAGAATAAGGAATAGAATAAGGAACAGAATAAGGAACAGAACAGAATAGAATAGAATAGAATAAGGAATAGAATAGAATAGAATAGAATAGAATAGAATAGAATAGAATAGAATAGAATAGAATAGAATAAGGAATAGAATAGAACAGAACAGAACAGAACAAGGAACAGAACAGAGTAGAATATAATAGAATATAGAATAGAATAGAACAGAATAAGGAACAACAGAGTAGAATATAATAGAATATAGAATAGAATAGAATAGAATAAAATAGAATAGAATAGAATAGAATAGAATAGAATAAGGAACAGAACAGAGTAGAATATAATAGAATATAGCATATAATAGAATAGAATAGAATCTTTATTGAGAATTAGGATAGGATAGAATAGAATAGAATAGAATATGGAATAGAATAAGGAACAGAATAAGGAACAGAACAGAATAGAATAGAATAAGGAATAGAATAGAATAGAATAGAATAAGGAATAGAATAGAACAGAACAGAATAAGGAACAGAACAGAATAGAATAGAATATAGAATAGAATAGAATAGAATAGAATAGAATAAAGAACAGAACAGAGTAGAATATAATAGAATATAGCATAGCATAGCATAGAATAGAATAAGGAACAGAATAAGGAACAACAGAGTAGAATATAATAGAATATAGAACAGAATAGAATAAGGAACAGAACAGAGTAGAATATAATAGAATATAGCATAGA